ATGCCTTTATTGCAGATTCTCGACCTCTAGGCTTCTTGCCACAGAGTCAGTCGGCTAGACTCAAGAACCGGACGCTTGCTCACCGCATTTGGCTTTTGGAGAGCCGAAAACAGGCTTCTGACGAGTTAAATCTGTCATCAGTCAACTCTTTGTCCTCAAACCCTACCTCACATTCCGCTTTGACCACACCCCAAGCCTGGGTGACGAGTCTCAGATTCCGACTTTCTCGAATGCCCACTAACGAGGATCTGATTGCAGCAAGTGTTAGAATACGATACCATCCAACCAGAGTCAAAAGAAAAGCTGAAGAGAATTGCAAAATGAATCTAGAAGAGTTTCCAGCCGAGTGGATTCCACCTTTGCGACTCGAGCTCAAGCCGACTTGGTGGTTCGACGAGGCAGAAAAACGGGGACACATGGAGCTGAAAGAGGAGTATGAAGAGATGACACCTTCTGAGGAGAGCTGGAAAGCGACTACCTTCGAGGCGGATATGACTGAACCACTCGAGGGTGAATCGAGTCACCTCACCTCGGGATGGTTCAGCCTACCACTTCCTGCAGGTCTTCTTCGCCATTTGACCCGAGCCAGTCGTTCCGGAAAGACGGGCCGTCGCGTCGGTCTTCTACGCCTTCAGCTGGTCGTTCGCGCTTCCAATGTTTCCAATAGGCCAGGCTGTCTACGGTCAACTGGAATAACACCACCTGAGTTTGGGTTGCAGTTGCGACCAAGTCGGTCAAGTGACGGCCCAGTTGTCGACTGGAATTGGCTGCATGAGGCACCACACCTGCTAACGTTCCACAGAGATCAGGTTCTAGCGGTCTATCTACGAAGGCATGGACAGGCGAGACCGAATTTCAGCAGCTGGGTCAAGAAATCCGATCAAACTGAGGTGGGCATTTCCTTAATTTTCAATTGAGCAACAATGAAATTTACTATATTAATCCAATTTAGAGTGCATTTTCAACATATCTAGCTGCCTAGCTATGGAGGCCGTTGAGTCATAGGGGAAATTTGACCTTCAAGGCAAGCTCGACTTCCATCAAATCGCATTTATTGCGTGATTATCTGAGACGAACATGCAATTTTCATTGAAACTTACGATACTACTTATATCAAAAATGAGTATGTCTTGAAAAATCTGGCGTTTAATAAAAACTGAATAAGAACGAGGTTAGACGAAATTCACTGGCCTCACCAGATAGCTTTAAAGCATACTCATAGTATATGTAAATGGCTTTAGAGGCTTATCTTTCGTAGATGAGGTTGCGATTATAATTCAGTCGGAGAGAAGCTTAAACTAGCATTGCAATATCGGTTTCTGCTTAAGCGGAAGTTTGAGTAAGAGATTGCGCAAAGTGGCAATATATTTTTTACCTTATTGCCTTAAATACCAGAAAGTATTTATGAAGCTAGCTCTTGTTAGCACTTTCTTCATCACCTACAAGAATGAATGGAAGACAACCTACGCTTAAAGATGCCTACTTTTCTGTTATAATTTAAATACACATTTAAATACACATAGTATGTGTTAATGCATACAATTGACACCGTTTTTATTGCTACAGACTTTGTAGCTTGCCAAAAAAGCCTTGTTGAGCTGTGGCTGTTTCAAGGTGTCCCTCAGTTATATTATATATTATATAATAAAATGAAAGTTGTACTTAATATTAGCTTCTGCATACTGGAGCTTGAGGCATTTCTAACTTATGTATATATTAATGGCCATTATGACAGAGCAAAAAATTAAGAATACCTAAATTGCATGTAATATGAAGGTTACAAACTCTACGTCGGACTGAGGACTTAAGCATTGTCCAGTCCTCTTATTTACATCCTTGGAGAGAGTATCACCAGGATACAAGGCTATCGCATTACCCACCGATCCACGCGACCTTCACAAAATTGTATTACATTGTATGCCTCTGACAAATCATGTCTTTTGTTAGAAGATTTTGCGCTGATATAAAACGAATTATTTCGACAGTAACTGCGATACTCCAATGATCTTGCTGTTAGTAAAAGTTTAATTTCGCATATTTTAGGAGGCTGATTTCTGTCGATAGGTACCATTTTGATCTCACCCGACCAGTTTGTAGCAGAGAATTTACCAAATAAATGTTATATTTTTGAGCATCTACTGTTATTCAGGCTTCTATCTAATCGTGTAACTTTAAGTGGCTTCATAGTTAGCGTGCTTGCATATTAACTTTTATTTCTGCAAGTCCAATCCTGCTGAGGCAAGCTCGGTGCTGCAGGCGCAAAGCGTTAAGAATGCGAGGTTGAATCCACTGCAAAAATTAAGTTTTTTATTCAAAAACATGTAGGCCTATTAGTTATTAGTGCAATTTATTAATTAGTCAAAACTGGTACACAAAATGTTTTAAGTTACTCTCAAAGAAGGAGGTTCAAGTCTAATGTTTGGTAGAAAAATTCGTCAAGTGTGACAAGAACTTTTTTAAGCCTAGGAAGTATGATTTTAGAATGTCCATTAGAGTAATGGATTATAAAGCAAAGTTCGTAGACAGCAAACTATTGTGCATACACGAAAGCTGAATAGGTGTAGATACATCTCTTGTATCTCTTGGTATGACGAAATGTCATGTGAAATTGCCAGGTGAACAGATTCTTAGGATTCTTTTACCAAAGCATGATGGCATAGTCCCGATGCCGTGCAGTCACTGGATTTTATTATGGCGTTCGGTTCGACGCAGTCCATGAGACATCCTCCCTCGATTCGGGA